GGCGGGCCGCATTCCCTGCGGTCCTGGCGGGCCCTCGACCCCAGGCATGCGACGTCCTGGTCTTTGTCAATGCGGCCTCCCCGGAAGTCCCGACCCGTTCCCCGGGACCCGCCCCTCGTCCCGCGTCGTCTTCTGACGGCCCCGCGGCCCGGCGAGGGCCCCCCGGGGCCGAGCACAGCGAGAAGCCTCCCGTGTGCTGACTTTTCACCACGCGATCCAGAGTCTGGGGTGCCCCCTGTGCCTCCTCGAGTTCGGTGGCCTCCTCCTCCTCTTCCTCCTCCTCCTCCTCCTCCTCCTCCTCCTCCTCCTCCTCCTCCTCCTCCTCCTCCCCCCCCCTCCTCCTCCTCCATAGCCATTTTGGCTCAAGCGGAGGCGCTCGCTGGAGCGCCGCAGCCGCGCCGAGGCTTTGTGCATGGCGGCGGCAGAGGTGGCGCCAGCTGCGGGGGCGGCGAGCGCGGCGTCGGCGGCTTCCTCTGGCCGTTCGGCGCTCGGCGACCGCGCGCACGCGATGCTCGGTGCGGCAGCGGAGCTGGTGGCCTTGCTCGGGTCGCTTACCTTGGCCGCTGGGCTCGCTGAGGCGCGCACCCGAGGGAGGCGGATCCCGTCGGCCTTCGTGAGTAGCTGCAGGACGCTCGACGGGGCTGCGGTTTTCCTTGGCCATCCGCGTGGCTGTCGTCGCCAGTCTTCGGCGCTGGCTGGAGGATGGCGCCGTGCCCAAGGCGGGCTTGCAGGTAGATGACATCGAGGAGGTGCTCGGCAGCGACGGCAAGTTCGAGGAGGCTGGCCCCACACCGTTTGGAGCTCGGCACGCAGGTGGTGACTGACGTGTTGGAGCCCAGGGAGGCCGAGGGCAAGCTCGAGCAGAACTCCACCCTGAGGGGGCTGCTAGGCGAGCAGGTGCTGGAACTGCAGGCTGTCAGGGAAGAGCACGGGCAGCACATGGCGGACATGCACACGGAGAAGGAGCAGCTGGCGCAGCAGCTGAACCACGAGGAGCAGACGCACCTCAAATCCAAGGAGCTGATCAAGCAGGTGGAGCACGAGGCACAAGAACTTGCGCGCATGGTGGGGGAGCAGCAGTTCAAGATCACGCAGCTTGAGAAGGCCATGAGCGAGCAGCATGAGATCGCCTTCCTCGCGGATGTCCCCGCCTTCCCCGTCCTGCATGTCGCCGGGGAGGCCCAATCGCGCAACGTCGAGCAGCTCCAGCGCGACGACGACGCCCAGGAGACCAACGCCGCCGAAGCGAAGGAGAGCATCTTGGACGGCCAGGTGAGCTCCACGGACGATTGCGCGCTGGGGGTCCTCGGCAACCCGCGGAGCATCGTGAAGAACCTGGGCTGTCCCCTGCACAGCCTCGCGAAGGAGAAGTGCAACGGCGACGTGCTGTCGGTCCAGGCGCGGTGGGAGACCGCACAAACAACCCTCTATAACCCCGGGCTGGCGCTGGGCAGAGGACCTCCGCGAGGACACCATGCTCGCGGTTGCCGACGTTGAGGAGCCCCACAGTAAGCCCGCTGGCCTCGCGGCGGCGGCGGCACCCGAGGGCGACGAGGTCGACGGGGACGCCCTGGCCCTGAAGGCCTTGCCGTCGCTGAAGGACGACGAGGTGGAGGACCCGTACGACGAGCGGAGGTGTTTGGGAGGCCCACTGAGGCCGGTGATCCTCCAGCGCCAGTTCTTCCAGACCGCGTGCCTCGACGAGAAGGCCGTCGATCTGGAAGAGCTCCAGCGCGCGCTGTCCGAGCTCGAGCAGCTCCGCGCGGCCCAGAGGTCCGCCCTCGTCTCCAAGGCCAGGTGGGGCAAGCAGACGCTGCGCGGGAGGTAATTAAGGGGGCCCGCGCTGGCCCGCTGCGTCCCCCTCGATTTCCCTAGTTCGTGCGGCGCTCCTCGGTGTAGGTTTCGGGGGTGGTGCCGCCTGGGTCCCGTGTCCCGTGCGGTTTGAGCGGCCGCTGGCGGTTGCCGTAGTTTTGCCCGTTTTTGTCCCCGCGGGGGTGGTCTCCGCTTGGCATTGGTCCTCCGACGGAGGGCCGCGGTCGGGGCGGAAGCTTGTCTGGGCTTCGGTCTGGGGGCTCGTCGCCTCGGCTCCCGTGCCCTGCGCAGGGCGGCGGCGCCGACTCGGCGGTGTAGAGGTCACCCGCCCGCGCACTGAGCTTTGTCATCTGGGGCCCTGGCGGTCGTCAGCGCGCTGGCGGCCGCCAGGGCCTCTTTGGTGACGTCCCATCATCGATCCTCCTCCTCCTCTTCCTCCTCCTTCTCCTCTTCTTCCTCCTCCTCCTCCTCGTCCTCCTCCTCCTGCTCCTACTCCTCCTCCTTCTCCTCGTCGTCCTCCTCCTCCTCCTCCTTCTCCTCCTCCTCCTCCTTCTCCTCCTCCTTCTCCGTAGCCATTTTGCTTCAAGTAGCCAGCTGCTGCGAGATTTGTCATAACCATCCTCACCCCGATGGGTGATCCTCTCCTCGCCGCCCCCCGTGTCACGGGGCGCAAACATGGGCTCTACGTGGACAACTCGTCGATCTACGCCATGGCTCTCCATGCTGCTGTCGGTCTTCAGGATGCGGTTCGTCTCGGCCACTCCAAGGGACAAGACCACCCCGCCCTCGCACGCCGACGTGCTGCTCGGGGGCTCCTTCTACACCGTGACTTCGAAGTTCACCATCATCCCCGCATCGGGACTCTCTCGCGGACATTGTCGCGGACGCTTCCGAGTCGGGCCGCTTCTCGGCGCAGGAGTGCCAGCTCATGCGCGACATCGCCAAGAACCGCAACGCTAGCACGCGCAAGGTCTGGACATCTACCATGAAGTACAAACTCAAAGGCGCCGGGACCTTCGAGACCAGCAGTCCAGGCCGAGGTAGCTCTCTTCAGCCTGGCTGTTCGGAGCCACCGACGCATGCGCATTCAGGCAACTACGGCGGCCGTCATCTTCCTGCAGTTGACGCTCCCCGCGAACCCGCCCACAACGCCAAGCTGCGCTCAGAGCTCGAGAAGGTGGCGTCCAAGATCGCTGAATACGAACTGCACCGACGGGAAGACCAACGCGCCCTCGAAGGTCTATTCCAGAAGGCCCAAGACCAGAACGGCGCGGTCAAGCAGGGCATCGCCGAGGTCGTCGCCGCAGCCGAGCTCCAGTTATCCCACGTGGCGGGCCAGCTGGCGCCTGCTAGCGCCATTCCCGTGGACATGCTGGCCGACGCCTTCGACGCCCAGCGCGTGGTCTCCACCAGCGACTACGTCGACCAGATGCCGATCAACCGCCAGCACCACCACGACGACCTGCTGCACCTCGCGCCCGCCGTTTCCGCGGACGCCGATGCCGCGCAGCTCCGCGCGCCCGCCTCCACCGACTCAGCGCTGAACAACATGCAGTGGCCGTGCGTCCACCAGAAGGTGCCCCACCCCGGCCAGCAGCCTCTGCACGCCATCATCGCGGCGGCGCATTGCGTGAACTCCAAGCGTGGCGCCGCGGCCGCCGCGCGCGCGAACTCCGCCAGCCTCAAGCCTGTAAACGACCCTGTCGACCAGATGCCGACCAGCCTCCCGGACATAGACGACGACCTGCTGTTCGACGGCCTGCGCTTCTCCATGCTGGACGGCTCGCTGGACATGAACAGCGACTGCATCATGAAGGACTCGTTCGAGTGCGACTCGATGGAGGACCTCATCACCACTGCCATGTGCTTCGGCGGGTGCGATGGCGGCGACACCTTCGATGGCTTCGACGACGGCTCCGCCTCCGACGACGACCTCGACGTCTTCGCCCCAGGCGATTCCGACAACGGCGACCTCTCCACTTCCCTCGGCCTTATTTCCGACAAGTACAACGTAGGCCCCTGCGCCTCCGCGCCCGCCCCGCGCGCGCGGCCGCGCTGGGCCACGGCCGACGTCTCCGCAATGGGACGTTCGCTCCTCCTCCTCCTCCTCCTCCTCCTCCTCGTCCTCGTCCTCCCCCTCCTCCTCCTCCTCCTCCTCCTCCTCTTCATCCCCCCCCATTCCGCCCTCCTCTTCCTTCTCCTCCTTCTCCTTCTCCTCCTCCTTGTCCTCTTCCTCCTTCCCCTGCTCCCTCAAGCAGATCGGGCCCGCTTGAGGGGCTAAGCTCGGCGGCGCGCCAACGCCCCCCCGAGCTTCTAACGCAGGGGGCTTCTGTCCAGCAGCCCAGCGCGTCTCGCCATGGTGAAGTAGTGGTCTCGTTGCCCCGGCTGTCAAAAGTGCGAGTGGAATGCGAAGTTGCAGGCTGTCAGCTGCGTGCGCAGTGGATGTGGCACGACCGTTCCTCTCTACTCCCCCAAGAAGAAGGTGCGTTTCTCCCGCCGCGAGAGCAATTGGGGCGGTTTCTAAGACGCGTACAGCGGCGATGAATCCGACGACGAGCTCGAGCCCATGCCCGTCGGCACCGCCCCCAGGGGCGGCGCCCGCTCCCGCGGCTGCGGGCGTTGCTGCAGCAGGCGGTGATCGCGGCTTCGGCGGGCCCCGTGCCCAAGGCAGCATTGGAGACGCAGCTGGCGCAGATCACCGCCAGACAGCGGCCGCGCGTGAGTCTCCAGGCGAGGCTCTTCAGAGGGCGGAGGGCGCAGTACGCAATGCGGAGCGCGTTCGCGAGCGGGCGGCAGGCAGCGCCCCCAGGCCCCGCGGCTCTTTGGCGGCGGCGGAGCAGAAGAGCAGGCTGCGGCGCAGGCGTTGGCGGAGGCCTCGGCGTCGAAGAAGGCAGCGGCTTTGGCTCCGTCAAAAGCGGGGGGGTTGGCGCAAGCGTCCGAAGTGTCAGCAGCACAGAGAGACCAGTGATTCACAATCGAGTGGGATGACATGTTCTTCAGCGAGTTAGAGACGACGGGGCGCGCGACTGAAGAACGCGCAGCCTTGATGGTTTCGGAACCAGCTCGAGGAGGTGCGCGCGACGTTCTCAGGTCGCGAGGCAGCGATCCAGAGGTGGCTCAAGCAGGCCGCCGACTACCAGAAGACGATCATGGACAGGCTCGCCAAGAAGCGCAAGAGCGCCGACGGCCCCCCCCAGGCCCCAGCGGTGGCGGTGGTTGAGGACGGCCAAGCAGCTGCGGCGGCCCCAGGCGGCAATGCCGCGGGCGCCCAGGGCGCGGGGCAGGGGGGGCAGGGGGCGCTGGCGCGGAGGCGAGCGACGCCGAGAAGAAGAACCAGGCAGAGAAGGAAGTCGAGCTCGCCGCCAGGGCCAAGAGGCTCTCCGACGCGAGATTCTAGGCGAATGCCGAGGCGGCCAAGGCGGCAGACAAAGGCGCGGAAGCTTGCGCGGCGGGGACTGGTGCCACGGCGGCGCGACAAGCCGCTGGGCTCGCCCCCGCCCAGCCCAAGGAGGACAACGAGACGCAGATGGCGACTGCCTCGTTGTTCCACAGCAGCGCGACCTCCATGTCTGACAATATTTGGAAGCACGTCGAGCTCAACGCAGTTCGGCACCGACATTGGGCTTTCGTGGAGATGCATGTACATGATGGACGTGGGCTGCGAGAGTGGGGCGCGAAGGCGAGGCGCCGCCGTTGGCGTTTGCATGCGAATCCTGCCCGTGCACACGGGAAAGAGGGCGCGTCGTCAAAGGAGGCCAGGTCAAACGAGGGCGGTGAGTTATTCATGAGTCACGGGCATTTACAATATCAATATTTGCCAGCAGCTCGAGCTGCAGCGGGGCGTCTTCGAGAATCTAACCAGGCGGGATTGGGCGGATTCCTGCCGATGGTGCTGCATTTCTCGGGCTGTTCGCTGGTGGTCTTTCTTCTCTATGCTCGACCATTCATCGAGATGCATGGGCGCACTCGCATCCGCTTCCAAAGATTGGGAAGCCTGGTTCAAACTGTGTCTCTGCCGTGGGTTGTGGTTGGCGGCTTCAACATGGAACCAGGCGCGTTAGTGAAGTCATCTTTTGTCCAACGTCTGGGGGCCGCGGTCAGGGCGGCTGGCCCCGTCGGGGCGCGCGCGCAGACAGACGGCCGAGATTCGCGTTTGGATTATGGCGCGTGTAGCCCGATTGCCACTTGCTTCCTGAGCAGCGCCCCAGCCGCGAGGGCCGTTCCTTGGAAGCCGCACCAGGTTCTGGTTCTTAGATTCGTGAGGTCTGGTTTGTCTCTCCCCACTCGCTCCCTCGAGGCCCCCCCCAGGCCCCACGCCAGACCCCGAGGCCCCGCGAGGAGCCCGCGCCCGGGTTCAAGTCGAGCCGCGCCAAGTTGTCTCGCGCCGTCAAAAAGCAAGAGGCCTTCGAGTCCAGAGTTGCCCAATTTAAGATGATGTTCGGAAATTGTTTCCAATCCGCGGAGCCCGTCCTCGGGGCGGAGCCCATTGGGATCGGCGCCGCAGAGTTTGCCGATGAATCGCTCGATTGTTGGCCTGATGAGGAAGAGGATCCGTGGGCTGATGAATTATGTTGCTGTCGGGGTGCTCACATAAGCAAGGCATTCCCGACCCCGTCCCAGGCCGACTCCGCGGTCGTTTTGCCCGGGCCCGCCCGTCTCGAGAGCAGCTGCTTCCAGCAGGCAGGTACCCACGGGGTAAGAGCGAGCTCAGTCGGAGCACCGATCCCCCCAACAGAATCGAACCAGCCCCCCGTCTGCGCGAAGCAGAACGAAGGCGCGCGCTAGATGAGCGACGCCCCTGACTGCGGCCATCGCCCTGACCGGCCCATTAACGCCCCCGGTGGTTTGCGGGGGCGGCGCCGCGCAGAGGCGGGGTTCACGTCGAGAGAGCTATCTATCCAGTCTGCAGCATCATGGCCTGGAAGCCCAGGGGCTGCCTCGCGCGTCGGGCCCGCACTACCGCGCCTCACGTTGCGCGCCGCGCGCAGCAAGAGGGAGGTGGATATCAACGGTCAACGAGCTCACTGGTGGGTCAGGGTCCATACTATTCTCAGCGGTGTCGCCTGGAACAGACACAAGTCGAATGGCCCCAAGCAGTGAAACAAGCATCAGATTGACGCCGGGAAGGGAAGCTCGTAGGAGGCCGACCCGAGGGCATCCGCTGCATCCTGCGCCCAGGCAAGGATGCGCCGTGGGATGTGTGGCCCAATGTGTTGAATGATTGCGAGACTCGCAATGTCGCGGCATTGGAGTTTTTTCGTCGACGGAGCCCGCAGGATCAGCCAACGGGCCCAACGGTGCGCAGTGCAGACTGCGCTGCTAAGACTTCGAGAGTGGGTTGTCCAACCTGAGGCCAACGGAGTTCTACGCGAGTCACTTAAGAAGGGCCCTTTACCACCTATCGATATTGTTCGTGGAGATCAATGCGCGTTTCACCCCAGGGGCGTCATTGACATAAAGGGCAGAGTTTTTCCAGCAGGTGCGGTCGCCAACGCCAGTCGACAGGAGCGAGGTCAGCGGGATCATCAGGACCATTCGGGAGGCTTGCCCAGTTCTCGGAGTTGCCCCCGCTGGGGCCCGAGATGCTCCGACAGGCCGCCAGCCGCGCGAAGGCTATGGCAGGAATGGGGATCGACAGGCTCGCGCCTATCGTTTACCAGAACAAAGAACAGCCAGGGCGACATAACTATCGGCATGGTGTCTATGTTGGGGCGAATCTGGTCGCTAGCCAGGGAGTCACTCGGTCGTTCTTGGAGCAAACAAAGTGCGCAACATTGGGGCGCAGCCATTGCAGGCAACTCATGTTTGATGGGGGGCATGTCCGAAAGCCATTGACGAAGGGGGGGCGGCGCATGAGATGACGATGCGATATGGCCACAGGATGTTCGACATTAAGTCGTTCTACGACAGCGCCCCGTGGCCTCTCCCCGTCCAGGCGGCCCTCCGACTGGAATTCGACCTTGTCAATTTGCGTCTGGAGCTGTTTCAATGCATCGCACCACGGGCGCTAAAGCAGGAGAACGCCGCCACCGAGCCACTTGACCCATCTGAGTCTGTTGCGCAGGGATTGAGGAGCGGCAGTTAAGGACGACTTGGCTCGATGCATTATTACTGCGTGTAATGAGATGAAGAAGTGGCCCCTGGCGGCTGCAGACAAATCTGTTGTTCTGCGCACGCGATAGAAGGGTGCTCAGTATGTGGCGCGGCGCGTTCGGCAGGCAGGCTATTCAGTTAAACCAGTCTTGCAACCAGCACACTTAGGAATCGATTTCGGATGCGGCCGCCGAGCACGAGCAACACGAGTTCGGAGAGGAAAGGAACACAATGTCATGAACAGCAAAATCCGTCGGTTTGTCAGAGTGTCTCGACACTATGCGGCGATCAGGAAATTACAGCGGCAAGGGTGGCTGCCAGTTGGAGTCTACGGACACTAAGTTCATGGTTTGTTTGGTGCCAAACTCACTCAGTGCCGCAGGAGGCTTGCCCAGTCGCGCGCGTCTTCTGCGAAGGGGAGATGCTTGACGACAATATTGAACCTGCGCGCGCCAAGCGCCGATCCATCACTCCTCTACCCTGTCCAGACGATCGATTGCTGGCTCAAGGTTTGGAACCAGCATCAGAAGATTTGTTGTGGAGTGCGTGGGATATGGGGGCCCTTGGTCACCAAGTTCCACCGGATGAGCGGGGCCGAGCAGCGTCGGACCATCAGAGGCCCTGTATCCACAGTCATCCTCAGTCTCCTTCGGTTGGGATGGAACCTAGTGGAGGCTCCACATGGCGCTACCAGGCAGGTTGCGATCGCTCGGCAGAATGGCAAATTCCTGATAGTGTCTATGAGCAGAACAAGGTTGTCTCGCACAAAGCTTTGCTCGAGGACATCTGGGGAGCGGCTGAGCTCAAAGTGTGGCCAGTGGCCTCCAAGCATTACCGTGGAGGAGGAGTCGAAGGGGGGTGTAGATAGCACGTCGTTTCGGAAGCTCTTGGATCAAATCAGCAGTCTTGACAATGGCACACGCATGGCCGGAATCATTGTTATGATCGCAGCAGGTTGATGCTGGCCCAACGGGAGAAGGAAAGCGGAGTTGAAACGTCACACGGGCAGCGAGATGCGTGACCAGTGCAGGAAAGACTTTGAGACGCCCTTGCACAGGGATTGGACTTGCCGGTGCAACCAGGGAGCTGAGCCGCATCGCATGTCGGACCAGCTGGTTATGCAGGCTCAGACGCAGTCGGCCTCGCGCGAGGCCTTTTGGTTGCGAGGTGTTTTACCTAAGGGCTGGACTGCCATTCCGCCCCGCGCTGCTGCTGTCGACTGGAAGTTCTCGGGCCCCCTGGTGGACGAAGGAGCCTAGGGCTCTGGGTCCCCGCGCGAGCAGCTCCAGGTTTTCGGAGACGCGTCGGGTGGCCCCGAGTCCAGTGATTCTGGGGTGAGAAGAGTAGGAGTCGCTATCGCCCTGTGCCCGCAACTCATGCCAGAAGTCCGCATCGCAGGCTGTCTTGGTTGCGGCTTGGACGTCTCAAGATTGGCTTTGCTACGCCACCGATTGTGACTATGTAGGTCTCGGTTGGCATAGGCAGCTACACAGGAGCCCCGCAGGGGAAGATGCCGACCTGTGGGGGGAGTTAGGCAGGATGCTCCAGCACAGGTGCCACGATCATATTTCCGTCATTTCTACCCACTCACATTGTGGGCCTGCTGACATTCTTAAAAGGCAAAGTTCACGTAATCTTGTGCTGGGGAATTTGGTGGCGGACGAGCTGGCAGGGCTCGCTGCCACTCAGCACCGCGTCTCAGAGGTTGATCGGTACAGAGTGCATCCACACGAGAGGAGAGCACGCTTGGTGCGGCTCCGCTTGCCTTGTGCCACGTTGGGTTGCTTCGCCAAAGAGAAGCAGCTGGAGCCCGAGAGGAAAAGGACGAGGGCCCCTCCTCCGCCCCTCGCGCCTCCGCCTTCTGCTGCTGCTGCTGCTGCTGCCCTCTTCCCCCTCATGTCTCTGCGCGTGCTGCCGGATGACAAGAAGCGGTGTTCGAAGTGTCCCGGATCGGTGGCCCAAGCGACTCTCAAAGAACTTTGGCGCTCGCTGTGCCCGAGTTTGTACAACGTTGATGGCGTTATTTTCTCACCGTCTCATGGCTCGCATGTGCATGTGGCGGGGGGCTGGCGTGATCCCAATCATCTGCTGAATC